TAAAATTCAACCATGTTTATGGAATTCAAGAAACTATCTTTCGCAGTAATATGCAAAAATAGTAATAATGGCTCTGAAAGAAACTGAGACAATTCTACGGGAAAAAATCTGCAAAAAAAAAAACAAAAAAAACCCAGCACACTGTGGTATTGGTATAGGGGCATACAATTTAGATCATAAATGTAACAGAACAGAATATCGAGCACACACAAAGAGATATGTGTATGATTTCATCCTTGATTTATGGGTATAGTGGCACCAGATAACAGTGGGAAATACAAGCTTTTAAGGATGTTCTGGAGTACTGAAGTACGCAAATGGTTAAAATGCGACTTTAGACTTCTTCAAACTGGACACAAATATTAGCTGCAGGTAGATAAGGCTTACCTGGAATGACAGAAATGATTGTTTTTATAAGCTGATTGAAGAGAATGCAGATCAGATGTACACAAAGAAGGATTTCTCAAAACAGACTCAAAAACATGACAGGGAGTATGTATCCAAATATAGCCAACTACATTAAAAGAGAGGGTCTATTATAATAAAACACCAAGAAAATTGAAATAACCGGCCACAGAGTTGAGAAGACATTTGAATTATTTATAATTGTTTAAGAGCTGGTCTATAAATAGTAAATTTATGTAATAAATAAGTCCTACAAATTAATTAGATAGAAGTCATCTCAAAAGAATTAAAACCGTTTTTTATAGATGACAAGAATTCCAAAAAGCCAACCATATCAATAAGAAGAAAGACTTTGACAGTCGAACCTTAAATCAGAATGACCTCAGTGAATGGCAGACTGGGAAACTAACAGCCTTTGCACCACCTAAAAACACTGAGTAAACAACAACATGCTAATCAAAATAGCTTTGTGAGTACTACAGAAACCAGTTGAGGGTCTGCAGAAACCAAACAAACACCCCAACCAAAAAAAAAAAATCCACAATTAAAATGATAAGGAATTTGAGGGTATTTTCGCTGGCCCTAGCCCCATGCCCTCCTCCCTGACACCACACAGCTGGGTGGAAGTGGCCCAATTCTCAGTTCTCTGGGAAAGAAAGGAAAAGTGAAGGACTTGATTGCAATCTGAAGGACTTGATTGCAATCTTCTGGCGTGTCTGAAGTCTGACCAACGGTCTGGTTTCTGCATTGCCTGTCTCAGCGCTGATGGTAAGGGCGGCAACAGTTTGAAAGTCAGGATGGAGACCAGTCAGGGACTAGCAGATTCCAAGCCTTGGGACAGCTGCCAGGAACTGCAGTCCTGCCTGCAGGTGCCTGGGGACAAAAAGGTTATGGCAGAGGAATGCAGTAGAATGTTTAATGCTGAGTAAAATGAGGGGAGAGTGGGACTATTAGGGAAATTAAGACACTTAATGCTGCACACTGTGTAGGCAGAACTTGGGGAACCCACACTGGCACACACTGGAGGGAAGAGGCAGGTCCAGAGAAGTTCTTAAAAAGCCTTGAGCCTCCACACTGGGTTGATTAGTAAAGATTTTTCTCTGCGTGGAGCCAGTCCCTAGAGGCTTGGAGAGGTGGCTTAATGTGACAACTAAGGGAATAATGGTCACATCACCTTTGCCTAATCACAAGTGTGACATCCCTCTTAAGACGCAAGCTCAAGGGAAGGGAGTTATAGAGCCTTGTGCACCAGGAGGCAGGAGTCTTAGGGGCCATCTTATAATTCCACCTGCTGCAGTGGATTTTGCTAAGAGACACCTGCCCAAGAAGACTTATGCTTGCTATATACTTGATAAAAAACAGTCCAGCCTCTCCATGCCAGCATCCCTATATGGTGTGTAGCACTTTGCCAGCAGAACTAACCCTGGAGGAGGGACCACACTGGCTACCAATGACCAGAAGGCCTCACCGCAGACCTCAGTGGACTCCAGAGGCACGAAGGTGTGCTGCAGCCTGGCCTCCCATTTTTCTGGGCCCTCACCTGGTTTGGAATCCTGGAATATAATCACTCTGAGAATTATCGACGATCGAGTGGATTTCTGCCTGGCTTCCTCTGGTACCACCTAGCTCCCAGGAAAGTTTTGAATTGTGGGCCATAACCAACTGGCACTGGCAGAGTTTTTTTTAAGAGTTAGTACCTGCCCCTTCAGACATGTTATATACACTATAGGTAATCCAGAGGTCATAATATTTGTTGAGAAATACTCAAACTTGCTTTGCTTTGTTGGCTGGCAGATGAACCAGCTGCTGGCCCAACAATTATTTGCTGATTAGGAAAATGTTTTTAAAATCAGTTGCCATGGGCTGAATGTTTGTGCTCACCCCTTCCCCAAATTCAGTCATCACACCCCAGTGGGATGGTATTTAGAGGCAGGGCCTTTGGGAAAAATCAGATCATGAGGGGGGCACCCTCGTGAATGGGATTATTGCCCTTACAACAGGACCTACACCAGGACCCGACCACGCTAGCGTCCTGATCTTGGACTTCAAGTCCAGAACTGTTATTTAACCCGTCCAGTCAATGGTACTTTTTACGGCTGACTAAGACAGCAGTGTGGCATGTTAGTGTCTCCCAAGTTAGGTTTTGTCTCAGAGGGTCTGGGCATGGCCTTGTCTAAGGGTAGGAAGCCGCACAAAGGGACACTGAAGGCCCATCCAGGCTCTGAGACTCATGAGCCAGGGCAGCACACTGACAGCTACTTTCCCTGTGAGCTGGGCCACTCATCCCACCTGTAACCCTTCCTGGCTGCAATGTGCAGGCAGGTGCAAATTACTGGCTGAGGCAGTCTCTGGGATGCCCCATTTCTAATCTATAGTCCCATTACTCCTTTGTCACATTGTCTGTTATACAGTTTTTAATTTAAGAAAGGTGGAAACTGAGTCAGGAGACTTGGACCTGGCTTCAGTTCATCTCCAAATTAGACTAATTTTTTAAACAGCTCGATTGAGATCGAATTCACATACCACAACAATACCTCTTAAAAAGTACAACTCCGTGGTTTCTGGACCACTCATAGGTTTGTACAGCCATCATCGCTACGGTAGGCACAGCATAAGCTGCTCCACCTTGAGCAGCAGAAACTCTGAAACCTACATACATTCCCCTTTCCTGCTTAGAGTTACAGATAATGGCTGGCTAGCGAGGGGAGAATTAATCTTGCTTGAGAATTCCAGGGATGGCTTTAAGGAGGGGGTAGCAGACGGACCTTGGAGTAGAAGACTGATTGCACATGAGACCATCAAAGAGGACACTACCCAGACTGCCCCGCGGCCAGTCTCAGGATGATCATCGGAGCTGCCTGTGCTGTTCTGCACGTTGCCACCCACCTGTGAACCCCCGAAAATCCTCTTTAAAACCTCTGTCCTCTAACCAGCACTTGGAGATGGTCCCAGGACATTAGTCCACCATCTTCCCAGGTGGATGGCCTTTTGACCAAAGCAACTTTATCACCAACACTTGTCTCCCGAGTATTGGCCTTTCCAGTGGTTAGCAGCTGAACTCGGGGTTGGTACCAGCTTTGTCTGGTTACAGTCCTTTTTTCTTTTTTTTAACATTTTCATTGCCCCCCAAAGAAAGCCCTACACCCACGAACCATCCTTCCCTTTTCTCCCCTCCCCCAGCACCTGGAACCACTTACCTACTTTCAGCCTCTATGGAATTGCCTGTTCTGGGTATTTCATATAAATGGAATCATACAATATGTAACCTTTTGTGTCTAACCTCTTAGTGTATTTTGAAGGATCATCTATTTTGTAGCACGTGGCAGCACTTCTGTCTTTTTCCTTGCTTAATAATATCCTGTTGTATGGACAGAATGCAGTATGTTTGGTTGTTTATCAGTTGATGGGCATATATGATGTTTCCACCTTTTTGCTCCTATAAAAAATGCTGCTTTGAACATTTGTGTGCAGGTTTCTCGTATTTTCAATTCTTTTGGATATATACCTAGGAGTGGAATTGCTGGGTCATGTAGCGTCTCTATATTTAACTTTCTGATGAACCATCAGACTGTTTGCCCACATCAAAAGCACTGTCCAGATTAAATCTTGTCTCTTTTGTGTTCCCACAGCCTTGGCGGCTCCCGGCTTACAGCTCTCAGAACACCTGGCAATCTTTTATAGCTCTTGGCTTGCAGATCCATTTCCCTACCAGGTCCCAGCACCTTAGAAACAAGGATTACTGTATCTTAAT